AGAAGCCACAGGTGTATTCCAGACCACCACCGCTCCTCGACATTCTGTCCTAGGCTAGCTCACCACTCAGAGCTTCAGTGACACCTCTAGGCCCCCCTCACTCCCACATCCATCTTCACCCCAGCCAGGCTTCACACCTGAATGCCTGCCCGCCTGAAGGGTGCCTCCACCTGGGATCCCTTCACTGTAGCACGTGTTGCACCATTTTCTCAGGAAACTCCTTATTACACCTTCCATGGTTAATACCCATACGAATGACAGGAACTGGCAACATATGGTAAACATGCGAAAACTACTCAGAAAAAGAATTTTGTTTTAAAGAAGTTTTTGTCATAGGGTGTGTGTGCTCACTGGAGAGAGATACAGAGATGGTGAGAGGGAAAATGAGAAATCACCCTGCAGGGGAGATGGCCACGCCACAATCCCTTCTCCTCCATTCTCTTGGGATCTTGGGCATGCATACATGCCCATGCATCCAGTGTGATTTTCAGGCCACTGGATGCGAGATTCAAACCACGGTCAGCCATGTGGGAGTTCAATGATGTAACCACTATGCCATCTGCTGGCCCCCAGAAAAAAACTTTTAAGTACAGACACTAATAGAAATGCGGGGCCAGCAGATGACATAGTGGTTGTGTCACTGGATTCCCACGTGGTTGACCATGGTTCAAGTCCTGGACCTGTGGCTTGAAAACCACACCATGTGTGTGTGTGCTCAAGATCCTAGGAGGAGAATGGAGGGGAAGAGATTGTGGTATGGCCATCTTCCTGGGGAGGGAGGTGATTTCTCACTTTTCCCTCTCATTGTCTCTCTCTCTCTCTCCAGCTAGTACATACACCCTATGGCAAAAACCTCTTTAAAAAACATAATAGAAATGAATACCTGTGGGCCCATTCCCCAGGTTTGCTAAATGGCTTCATATAATTTATTTTTTATTTTATTTTATTTTATTTTATTTTATTTTGCCACAGGTTGTGTGTGCTTGCAGGAGAGAGACAGAGAGCGAGCAAGTGACGGAGGACAAGTGATAAAGCAACCCCCATGGGGCACGACCACGTTGCAAACCTTCTCCAGCTCGCCCTCCTTTCAGGGTTGTGGGCTTGCACACATGCTCAGAGTGTTTCTCAAGCTGCGGAGTTGAGACGCAAACTCAGGCTGGCCATGTGGGATCCAGCTTACTTAACCACCAGGCCGCAGCCGGCCTGCACATTATGTTATTTTAAGGAACACAAGAGTACAGACACAGCAGAAGGGCTCCTGGTGCCCCTCCCGATTTCCTGGGCCTTCTTTCCTCCTCAGAGGAAACAGCCACCTGAGGTTGATGTATCTGATTCCTGCATATTTTCAGACTTTATCATTTATATTTGAATCCATAAACAATAAGTAGACTTACGGCCAATACTTCTCTGGGTACTGAAAAATATTACATAAATAGAATCCTACCTTACATATCACAATACCACTTCCTATTTTCTTTCAGCATTTTAAGATTTACTCAAGTCGATACGTGTAGGGTTGAGTTTATTCATTTTTAACTGTGGGAGAGTGAAACCAGCAGATGGTGTAATGGTTATGTTGCTGGACTCCCATGTAGTTGAACACGGTTCAAGTCTTGGACCTGACAGCTTGAAACTTGCACCAGGCATGTGTGTGTGTGTGCCCAAAAATCCCAAGGGGAGAGTGGAGGAGAAGAGATTGCGGTGTGGCCATCCCCTCCGGGGGGTGACTTTTTGCTCTCTGTCTCTCCAGGAAGTACACACGCCCTATAACAAAAATATTTCTAAAGAAAAATAAATAAAACTGTGGGAGTTTCCCCTGTGTGAATATACCACAGTATATGTAGTCCCTCCCATCCACAACGAGGTTTCCATCGTTGTCCACCATCAATCACAGTGCTGTGGTTGACATCTCGCATACATGTGCACTCACGTGAGTTCCTCTAGAGCGCATTCCTACATGAAATCCCCAGGTCAAAGGGCATGTGCCTTTGCACTTTTACTTGATGTGGTCCTCTTCTCTCACAAGTGACACCAATTTATACTCTCAGCCAGGAATGTGAAGGTTCCCACCCCCAGACATCTGCTCTAGCACTTGCTAATGCCACTTTTCTTTCCATGAAGATTGCTGTTACTGGGACCAGCAATCAGCATAATGGCTATGTCACTGGACTCCCATGTAGTCGACCATGGTTTGAGTCTTGGACCCATGACTTAAACTCATGCCGGGCACGTGTGCGTGCATGCCTAAGATCCCGAGGGGAGAATGGAGGAGAAGGGATTGTGGTGTAGCCATCCTCCTGGGGGGTGATTTCTCATTTTCTATCTCTCTGTCTCTCTTTCTGGCGAGCGCACGTGCCCTATAGCAAAAACCTCTCTTAAAAAAAAAAGAAAAAAAAAGATTGCTGTTATTTTACTTTGTTGGTTTTTCTCTGGTTCTAAAAGTACAGCTTGTTTGTTAGGATAAATTAAAATACTACAAACACATATAACATGGAAAGCGAAAATCCTCCCGAGATGCCATTCTTTGTTTGTTTGCTATAGGGTGCATGCGCTTGTCAGAGAGAGACAGAAAGGAAAACTGAGACGTTACCTCCCTGGGGGGATGGCTACACTGCAATCCCTTCTCCTCCATTCTCTCCAGATTTGGGGCACAAATGCACACATGCCTGGCAAGGTTTTTTATGCCATTAAGTTCGGGATTCAAGCTGCATAATTGGCTATGTAATTAACCACTATGCCACCAGCTTGCCTCAGAGATACCACTCTCAACACTTTGGGTGTTAAAATCGTGTATCTTGTTCTGGAGGTTTTTTTCAGGGCTACACTACCATGTGAATAAATGAGACTATTTGATGTTCTCCTACAGGACGGTTTTTATTTCATTGTAAATAGTTTTCCTAAATAGTTTTAAATGCACATACAAGCTCACTCCCTTTTTGTTTTTATTTTGCAGCCACTGCTTGCCAATTGATTTCATTGCCCAGCACAAAGCCTGGAACAAAATAGGCACTCATTAGATATGAGCTCCATGAATGAATGAAAGGATGAATGGATCCTTCCAAATATAGCCATTTTCATTAAATTTCTTATGTTCCCATGCCCAGAAGAATATAGATTATCTTCTACTGCAAAAGACAAAAATTAAGATTGAAAAGTGAGACATTAGC